TTTTGAGAGATAACCATGTAAAATTCTACAAATAGCTTGTTGCATTACTATCAAATTTAGGCTTATACCAACTAATTAATGCATTACATATTTTAATATTAAAAATTATATTTCATATATATGTATATTTTTTGATACTATTTTGTTTTTTTAATATAATTTTTTTTTGTTATAAAAATTATTATACTATTATATTTTCATATTAAAAATTGGTTTTATATTAAATTATTTTGATGGAAAGAATGGTAGAGTAAAAAATGGTAGAATAAGTTTTTAAAAAATGATAGAGAAAAGACCGTACTAATCAAGTAGAGTAAGTAAATGAGGTAGAATAACAGGGGGCAAAATAGTAAATTTTCCTCTAATCCCAAGAGAATTTTTTTTCTAATACCATCTCCTATAGTAGACTACTAATTCCATTCATGAAGGCCTATCATACTCTCAATGTATTATGAAACCCAATCCCATTTTGCAAATGAACACAATATTAGTAGACTTTACATCCATCTTAATCCAATTTCATTCCCTATAATCCAAAACAAACGAACTATCCCGTTTGTTTTCAGAGATAGAATAGAAGGGATTGATAGTAAAGGGATTAAATAAAATTATATTTGTTTTGATGATAATTGTTACCCTATAAAAGAAATATAAAATATTAAAACAAATAAAACTATGATTTTACTTAACAAAAAATACAAAAACATTAATTATTAATGTTAAAAAAAAATGCTCACCTCCATCTCAATCCCCTCTCCATGGCCCATCTCAATCCTCTCTCCATCTCCCAAAACAAACACAACATTAGTGCATCCTACCTCCATCTCAATCTTAATCCCTCCTTCATCCCAAAACAAACTATGAATCCCCTTCTCTTTTTTACAAACAAACATCATTAATCCCACATTTATTCTAATTTAATTTCCTCCTCTATCACCCAAAACAAACAAGTAAGATTCTATAATTTAATTCCCATAGATATCCAAACAATAAAGGAAAAATCTTGAAAATTCAAAATTCTGCTTCTCGAGAGTAACCTGAATAAAAGTGTCAAGACCTTGGTATTTCGTCAATTAAAAAGCTAAATTATATTAAATTGGACACATCAGTAATTGGACATTCAACGAACCCACTAACCCTTTCATAAAAACTAAATTAGATTCTAATTCAATCCAAAAGAATCCTATTCTATCTGTTAGTTGATTATGGATGAGGTGGAAGAGGAACAAGGTTGTATAATCATGTTTTAAATGCATAAAAAAAATTAAGGGAAAAAAACTTACCCTACTTAATTGATAATACTTTTTTCCGATCTTGAAAGAACATTATGGTGTCATGAAATTCTATATTGGAGAATCTAATTGGTGGCTATATTAATTAAAAAATTATTATAAGTGTTAAATTTTTTATTAAATAAATGACCAAATATCTTATATAGGTGTACCTCTATGTGAGACATTTAATAATTTATTTGATAAAAAATTTAATATTTTTAGCATTATTCTATTAAGTAAACATGAATATTGACGAAAAAGTAAAGGGTAAAAAGAATACACTTTTCGGATGCTATTTATTTATTTATTTTTTGCCAGCTCGGATGCTACTATTAAAATTGTTTTATACAATTACTAATTGGATTCATTTAACTAATCATGTGAGTATTATTCCACTACATCTATTTATAAACATATTAATTTGATTACAATCCGCATAATAGGGTTAACATGAACAAACAGTTTATTTTATACAAATTGTTTTAGTGATTAACAAGAATAAATACATATTTTCATCTACATCTATCTATCTATCTACAAATTAAATTTCCATAAAGATAACTCAAAAAATTCATGAATAATTTATTTTAAACAAAAAAGAAGAAATTGAAAAACCACACAAATAGTCAAATAATAAGTCCGAATCTCTATAAATAGTTAATATTTCATAAAATCATAACTTCCATTTTTTTTAAATACATAAAAGGAAAAGAAAAAATGTTAGTTGTATTAAATTCGTATTTTGGTACTAATTCAAGTATTTATTTTTGCATTATGAATCAATTTATTGGTTACAAGTAATCCTAACACATCAAAAACTATTGTGCATCTTATTAGTCTCATTTCAGAGCTTAATTTGATAATCTAAACCGTTCACATTTTAGAAAGTATCAAGTGGAATATACCAGTAAAAAATCACGTCAATCAGATATTGTTATCTCTTTCATCAAATCACATTTGTATTGAGTTTTATATTTCAAATTACGTTTATCTTCTTCTTTTTTTAAATACAAATATGATTTGATGAAAAAGTTAACAATATCATATTAACGTGACTTTTTATAAGTATATTTTACTCGAGAATTTCTAAAATGCAAACGGTTCAGATTTTTAAATTAAGTCTTAAAATGGACCCAATAAAACGCGTAGCAGTTGCTCCTACTTTACATTGGACTTGGGGTCACTGCTGTGCCAAAGGCACTGCAGTGACTGTTGTATCTTATTTTAAGATGCATTATGGGCTTATTTTTATGATCTGAACCGTCCATTTTGTAAGATTTGTTGAGTACTTCAAGCCTACCAAAAATCATATTAATTGGATATCAATAACTATATGATCGAATTGCATATTTGTATACTATTTTTCAAAAGAAAAACTTCTTGTTTATTTTTTGGTTATCAATCATATAGTTATTGGTATTCGATTAATATGATTTTTGGTAGGCATGGAGTACTCAACAAATTTTACAACATGAACGGTTCAGATTATAAAAATAAATTCATAATATACTACAAAATGAGCCACAACAGTCACTACTGTGTCTTTGGCACAGTAGTGACCCCAATTCCCTTTACACCAGGCGCAGCAATCCCAAATCCCATCAAAATCATGTCCAATGGCAAAAATTCTCAAAGCAACAGCCAGCCACCACCACCAATGGCAAAAATTCTCAAAGCAACAGCCAGCCACCACCACCATCATACACACGGAGCACGTGTTAAGGGCTTGTTTGAAATGTTTTAAATAAATATATTTTTTAATTTTTTTATAAAAAATAAAAAATTATTATGATTCAAAAAAAAATGTGTGTTATTGTAGTTTATCCTAAATAAGTTTTAAATTCCTTAATAGAAAAAAGATTATTCAATAATTATAATTGGTGAAAAAAATGAATATTAATGAGATATTATGTTTAGGGATTAGGAAATATAAAAAAATATATATATTAAATGTTGATTGATTAAAGAGTTTTCGAAAATATTTAATAATTTCCCAAGAAGATAACAACAGGTGTTTGAGAAGATGATTTTTGATAAAAATAAATAAATAAAATAATCTGAAAAAAATAAAAAATAAACTAAAATAGTTAATTTTTAAAATCAACTTTACGTGATGCAAAATGACAAAAACACCCTAAACTTTTACTCGAACAAACCCAAATTGACCGACGTTGGAATCCAAAATCAAATGTCAGAAATCACGGAAATTACACAAGAGTAATCCTAAACGTTTCAGATAATTTATCAAATCTTTTATATAGTAAAAAATTGACACACATGTAAATTTAATCACTCACTCATATATAAAAAATTTAATAAAATATTTGATAAATTGCTTAAGTCCCTAACACTTTTCCTTACACAAAACTGTCCACACATCCAGCCCACATCCCAAGATGTACCGGCCCCGTTTACCGGTCGTCGGTCACAACTCTCAACGTTAACAATATCAACAACAGATTCTATTGGGGCTGTTTGGAAAATCAGAAATGAAACTATTATAGCCTCATTTGAAAAAAAAGTCCAAAAACAACACTGTTCACAAGTTTTCAAAAAAAAAAAATAAGCTGCAGTCCGGACAGTGTAGGCACAAAAGTCATCATCAACGGCTAAATTATCATTTTACCCCTTCACATCATTTTAAAAAATTATAATTCAGGGACAAATTTGTCATTTTAAATTCAAACATCATTTCAACACACTTTCCAATACAACAACTCAGTTAAAAATTCATCTCATCTTTCCAAACACAAAAACTAAAATAATCTATTAAAATAGTCAAAAAGTCAAATAGCTTACTAAAATAGTCACTTCCCAAACGAGACCATTGTTAAATAAAAAATAGTCGTGGTAAAGGCTTCGAATTTTTGAGATTCAAATGCCTTGAATTATGATTTTTTTTTATTTTAAAAAAGGTATTATGTGTAGAGATTTGTTAAAAAATTAGACATTTCATACTAATTTAACCTGTGTGATTTGATAAAGTGAATAAATTAGATTAAATTAATTTTGTGATAAAATTGACTGATCGATTAGATTATTAGTTAAAATTTATTAATTCAATCACATGATCAGTCCAACTTAACTCATTCACCATATCAAACCATTCAATTGAATTCTAATTTTTTAACATATCCTTACACATAATCACCCTTTCAAAAGAAAAAAAAAAATCAAACCATCACATGCCAAAAAAAAAAAAACAATTTCCAGGCATTCGAGCCTCATTCACCTCGAGCAAGCAGTTTTGACAAAAAAAATATGGGTAAATTACACTCACATTCCCTAAAATTTATATTTATTATAATTTTTGTTTACATTTAAAAAATTACACTGATCTCCTTGTTAATTTAATTTTATGTATGATCATCATTATGGTGAGGGGAAACTGTTATTAAACTTGAAAACAATCTTTAATAAAACTTTAAACCTCAGAAAGAGAATGTAATTTTTAAAAGATAAGAGAAGAATTGTAATAAATATAAACCTCAGGGGCGTCAATGTAATTTACCCAAAAAAATATATACATATCACAGCCATTAATGTAAATTTCATCTACAGTACTTTTCATGTCCGAATATCAAGAGGAACAGAGACAGTTGCGGAGCTCAGTTTAAAGTTTTGCGACCGGAACAAATATAACTGTCACAGTCAACAAAAAGAGAATTTGGAAAAAAAATTCCGAGAACCAGGCAAGAGATATAAATTGAACAAAGAACATGAGACTAGGGCCAAAAAAAGAAGTGATCTTCATTCCTGTTTCAGGGACGAGTGTTTTCTCTTTACACCATAGCAAAAACACTTTTAAGGAAACCCTAAAATTTGACTCCTTCACTTTTCATACCGATCGCAGAGTGTATGTACAAAGAAAAAACGATCTGGTTATATTATACCACTAAGATCTGCTCGAAACTCAGCCTAGAGAAACTCATCGGACAAGGAATTGATAAGGTCTTGAACTGACTCGTCACCGACACGCAAAGCTTCGAGAACGCGCTCGAAGACGAAGACATGGCAGGGGATGCGAAGAGCTCCTTTTTGCTCGTATCCGTACTCCTGAGCCGATTTGTTGAGCAGCTTCACGAAGATCGGGTGATTTAGGAGCTCTGCGCTGACGACGAAACGTTCCATCTCTTCTCCTACGTACACCGGCAGGTGCCCCTCCGGTACAGTACCGGATCGGAGTTTGGATCGGCGAAACTTCCCCGAACGGAACGATTCCGTCTGGTAGGCTCGAGCTGGCGTCCGAGTCTCGGATCGGAGGAGACAGTACTGCGACGAGTCCGCCACACGCGATAACCGTCGGATCAACTTCTTCATCGTTTTTCTTGTGAGAGAAACACAGATTCTCAGGCACCAAACACACACAGAGAGAGAGAGAGAGAGGCCGAATGTGCTGTGATTATACAGAGAGATGCGGTGTAGAGATAGAGAGAGAGAGAGAGAGAGAGAGAGAGAGTGCTGGGGCAATGGAGGGAGATCGTGGAAGGAGTGGGGGAGGAAGAGATATAAATATTGGGAAGGGGTTGGAATAAAATAAGGGCGTACACATAGAGAGGTTGTATGCGTACTTGGTAGGTACTATATTATTTTCTTTTCTATATTACTTTCCGAGAAAACTGTTTCCATATATGCATCAATTCAATTCCTAATTAAATCCGGAAAAAAGATAATTCAAAAATTTACTTTCAGAAAAATGAAGAATTATATTTATTACAGATAAGCATTACAAGGTTTTTTATTTTTCATCTTTTAAATAAAAAAAGTGGCTCATCGTATCGGAGTTGGGTGATTACTGTGCATCCAGCATAATAGACACTGATGTGTGATTTTATGGACTTATTTTGTAATTCATTTTGAAAATACAAACGATTCATATTTTAAAGTACATCAAGTAGAATATACTTGTAAAAAATTAAATTAATCAAATGTCATTAATCCTTTCATCAACTCACATTTGTATTTATTTTAATACTTTAAATAACAATATCGTTTATTTTTGAAGATACAAATATGAATGGATAAAAAGGTTAACGTTATCCGATTAACTTAATTTCTTACAAGTACATACTATTCAATATACTCTAAAATATAAATAGTTCGGATTATCAAAACAGACTTCAAAATAAGCCCATTGAACCGCACAATAATACCTACTATACATCTAGCACAGCAGCACCCCAACTCCCATCGTATCCAAATATATATATATACATGTTTGATCTATTAAAATAATAAGATTCCAATCTTTATATATAGATAGAGCTTTTTGTGTATATTAAGGCCAAGTTTGGGAAGACTAAATAAGTGCACTTTTTGACTTTTATTGAATTATGTGTAAAAAAAATAAAGAGGAGATGCTAATTAATGTGACCCAAAAAAGATAAAAAGATAAAAAGTATGGACTAAAATAGTCTAGCCAAACTTGGCCTAAATATACAAGTTAAAAAAAATGAATAAAATTCAATCGCCGGCTTGTGAAGCAGTGGATTCAAGAAGGGTCAAAGTTAGGTTCGGAGCAATTGTCCTACTCTCCCTTGTGGTATTTATTCCTCAAGTAAAGCAGCATAAATATGAATTTAACAACTAAAAATCTACGCCTTTTCATTTTTTGATTCCTTATTAAGATAGAAGTTCAACCCATGAGATTTTCTGGCAATAAAATAAATGTATGAACAAAAATGATGACACTTACTATATTACACAAAATAGCCCACATATTTGAAATGAAATATTCTTGTTATTATAAGAAATTATAGTTTTTATCAAGATTTTTTTGTCACGCAAAAAAAAAAAAATAATAATAATAATAATAATAATCAATGCTATGAGATACTTGCCTCTTAAATTCTGTAAAAATAAATAACTTCTGGCAAAAAAAAAAGAGCCTTTTGATGATGAATGTTATTAAAATAGAAAGACACATAAACAATTGACTCTCATTCCGTGGAGTTTGATTTTGTTCACGCACTATACATATTTTTTAATTAGTAAAAAATGATGGGATCGACATTTTAAGGGGAGATCAATGTACTTTTTGGATATGGACCCATTGTTTTAGACCAATTAGAATTTTTATATTTGTCACACACTAAAATTATAATTTTTATAAGCGAATTTTAACATTTACCCTTACTTTAACAATGTTTATTGACAAAGTTAGACCGTGGGATCAAATTAACACACACAATTTTATATATTGAGTTTTAAATTGACACAATTTAAATACTAAAAATTAAAATGACATAAATTACGTACTTTTAAAAATTAAAAACATAATTAATCATATTTAATTTTGTAGTAAAGTTCAACAACATATTACAATAATTATATAACAAATGCAACAATAGCAGAAGAATGAAAAAAAAAAAACACAAAACAAAACAAAAAAACAAGGGTAAATTACATTTACCTCCCCTGAAGTTTCTGACAAATACAGGGACCTCCCCTGTAGTTTGAATAATTACAAAAACACAAAAACACAAAAACCAAAATAAAACAAAACAAAACAAAAAAACAAAGACAATGGGAAAAGGGCTGAGGTTTGCCTGTCGAAGGAAACGATTTGGACCACCAAAATTGGTTTTCACCGTTCGATTGATATACTTGGTTCTAGTGTGTAACCAACAAAATGTGTTGGTGACATTCACATCACCCAAAAAGTGTTTGTGGCTTATGATGTGTGTTTGATAAGTAACGATGCATTCACGTATCTAAATAAAGTTTCTTTTTTTAATTGATCATATATATCTAAATGAAGTTATGATAAACTAAAAAAGTTATATATAATATAATATGAACTTACGTGGATCTTTCATTTTGAATAAAATATTTGATATTTTTTATTAACAAAAATAATATTATCACATATATAAGAGTATCATTGTATCAACATCAAATTGGTTATTTTTAGTTTTTTAACTAAAATATTGAATAAATCACTAAATTTTACTTATATCAAATTAGTTATCAAATTAGTTATTTTAATTTTATGATTTTGACTCAATAAATGTAGCAAGTAGTTTATCTTAGCCAAACATTAAAAAGGTATTACTTTTTATATTATGAAATTAAGTGTATTGAGTTTATAAAATATAATTCCAAATTAAAATGAATAAAACAGAAAAGAAAAATAATAGAGAGTTTGTTTGAGAAGGGCTAAATAGGCTATTTGGAAAGGGCTAAACCGGGTTTTTTTTTGGCTATTTTAGGCACAAAAGATAAAATAGGTTATTTTAGTCACAAAAAATAAAATATCATATCTAACTTATAATCATTACACTCTTCTCTCATAAAATAAGCTAAAAAAGCCAAAATGTTCTTCCCAAACTAAACTTTTTAGGCCATGCTAAAATGGTCAAAAAAGCCAAAAAGTTAACACACTTCCCAAACGGAGGCTAAAAATAGGATATTTGCACACAAGTCTTAATTTATGAACTTATACTCTATTAAGTCCTAACTAAAATTTTTTGGATCTTCAAGTCCCATTAAATTTTTAATAGTCGAAAATATCCTTCAAATAATGATTGTTCATCATTTATGATTATCTATAAAGGAATATGATGATTTGACATTTATTTCAATTTTCAAAATTTTCAAACATCAACTTTCAAATTGAAAAAACTAAAAAATTTATGTGCAAAAAAAAGAACTAATCAGTGTGTTTGATTTCAGTTTTTTGAAAATTGAGTTTTTTGTTTTTTGTGTATTTTGTTTTTAGTGATTTTTTTAAAATTTTAAGCATTTTTTTTTCTTTTTTAGATGCACCTTACTTAGATGTATCTAAATAGTCAAATATTTGTGAAAAAATATTTTTAAAAATTAACAAATACACAAAAATATGAAAAATATATTGAATTTTTCATTTTTGTATTTTTTAGTATTTAGTTATTTTTTAAAGATTTTTTTCACAAATATTTTGCCTTTTAACTGCATTTATGTTAAGTGTGTCTAAAAATTAAAAAATAAATTGCTTAAAATATTAAAAAAATCATTGAAAACATTAAAATACAAAAAAATAAAAAGTAGAATTTTTTGAAAATTGTTTTTTGAAAACCAGAACGAAACAAACTGATTTTTTTAAAAAAAATTGAAAAAACTTAATTATTTTATGTGCAAAACTGAAAATTTTGTGTCTATAAAGAAGCAGGATGATGAAATATTGATGTGTATGTCTATAAAGAAGCAGGATGATGAAATATTGATGTGTAAAACTTAAAAATAAATAAATAAATAATTTTAAAAATGAAAAAACTGATAATATTTTCAGTTTTAAAATTGAAAAAAAAATTGATTATATTTTCGATTTTATTGAATAGTTGAATCAAACTAATAAGTAGAAGAACAAAAACGTTTAATCTCATGCTCCTTCTTTTTTTATCAATTAGTGAAACAATTATCTAAAATAAAATTGATAATATTCTTAGTTTTAAAATTTGAGAAAAGCTGATAATATTTTTAATTTTATTAAATAGGATTTATTGATTTAAAAAAAAAATTAGATAGAACATGAGCTACTATAATATTTGTAAATAGGACTTGTAAGTAATTAACTCTTTAAAAAGATGTAAAATTAAAATAAAAAAAATAACTTTTGTATTAAAATAAAATAAAATTTTAACTAATTTGACGTCGATATTCTAATAAAATTATACTACCATAAAAATAAAATTATTTTGTCACTGTATAAATGAGATGCAATTTTTCTATATTACTAATTTGTGATTGACTGTGGGGGACAGCTAGAATTAGGCTGTTGAGTTTGTCCGGAATATGAATTACGGTTCATCATAATAAATGTTTTTTTTCTTTTAACCGTTTAAAAGGTTTTTAGGAATTATTTAGAATTATTTAAATAAATATATTTTTGAGAAATACACAAATAAATTTTAAGTTTAGGTAGTTTGAACTATTTAGTCCTGTAATTTATTTTGTAGACTGAGATTGGTCCATGTCAATGTTAATTACATTTGAGCCCACGAATGTAATGCATGGATTGGCTGTTTGGAGGGGTATATTAGGCGTTTAGATAATATTGTAGTTACCAAGAAGTCCAAAAGTATACTATAACATTTTTTTCCTTTTCTCTCTATTGCGAACAAAATGGAAGCTCAAAAATGGGAACGCCAACATTTCGTTGACGATGTTGCAGTGTTAATTCTCAATTTGTGTGAGTTGAACACTGGATTTGGGAACGTTACATTCAGAATTCATTATTCCCCAAATAACATTACAAAACCCCCAAAAAACCCTAGAAAATCATAGAAACCCCTTCTATCAAATTTACAAAGGCGAAGCGGCATAGGCACTAGGACATCTTGGAGTGTGAATAACATTGAAGACGTAACGTCGGCGATTTAAAATTAATTCGTTAACCGCATCGTCGATCGTGTGTTAGTGTGATGACAACAAATATGGATGTCTTCGATGTTAGTTTGGTTATTTATGGAACAATACGACATC